TCCATATGTCCCGTTCAAATACATGGAGGAGATGCGCGATGAGGCAGCACTTTGCTGTGCCTCTCGGTGGATCGTGTAATCCTCACAAACTGTATGCGATGCAAACAGTGTGTCGCTGTCCCTCTATATATCACAAATAAAATGATTTCAAACACTTTGATTATATGCTCTGCCTTGCCATAATCTGGATAATGTATAAAATGTAGTTCTGTAACGTGTTTAAGATCACAGATTAATTATAAAACCCAGCAAAAAAGTTACTCGGTGAGGCAAACAGTACCCCTGCCTCATGGCAGAGGGCGCGAGTGAGCCCACAGATTCTTGCGCTACCTACAATCTTCTTCGTTCTTGTTTATATTTCCTTTACAATCCGCCTTATCAAAATGGAAGATTAATGAGAAAATTCGCAAATCTGGACTTTCAATCAAAACATTTTTGACAGTCCGGACATTTTTGTCCAGAAGGATCTTCTTTATTTAAAACATTTGTGTTAATAATGGATTTGAACGGTAAAAGGGTTTGTAATACATACCAGCTGACAAATGGAGTTTGTGTACAAGTAAAGGTAAGACCATAAACTTTTATTATTTCTAGTTAGAAATAAGCTCAATTGGAATAAAAATTTTAACCTCAAATTAAATATGGGTCACGTTTTTGTGAAGAATGCTGATATGAGATATAAAACATAACACATTGTCTGTTAACAATTTGTATTTGTAAAAGAGTTAGTGCCTCACCAGCTGTCAACCTCACCGCACGTCACTGAATGTAACATAGTAGCATAACTGCTTCCAAAAATCCCTTTAAATATATATCACCAAAATGGCTGATTACGTATAAATTTCAGTATTAAAACATGGTAAAACAGCAAATACAAACTTATATACACTGCTTTAATGATCACATTCAAGGCATTTATCAAATGTGACTAGCGCCGTCTTCAACACAGTTATCCCACACTGGGTCTGCACACCACCCTCTGTGACTTGCTCCTGGACTTTCTGACTGGCAGGCACCAGTCTCTCAGGATTGGCAATAGGACATCAGCCAGCATTATCACGAACATCGGCACCCAAAGGGGATGTGTCCTCAGTCCCATCCTCTACACCCTGTTCACCCATTACTGTGTCGCCTCCCACGAAGACAAAATCAACCTAACTGCTATGCTTGCAGAGAGTGGTAAAGACTTTGGAGAAGATCACCTGGACCCCACTGCCTTCTCTGCAGCGCATTTACCACCGCAGGGTGCGTAGGAAAGCTGCCTTCATCCTCAAGGACCCCGCCCACCCCCAGCACTGACTGTTCATATCCCTACCCTCCAGTGGGAGTCTCAGAAGTGTGAAATGCAGGACTTCTAGACTGAAAAACTCTTTCTATCCTTCTGCCATCAGACTCCTAAACAGCTGACTCAGGATCTACCTCATGTAATTCCATCTGTACCATTT